TGTTTATGAAAATTAAACGAGCCAAAGGCGAGCAGGAAGTTCCCTCGCGCCGGAGGCGCCGTGTCACACCGCGACGGACAACGCGCCGCATGAACCAGCACGCTGCACGACCAACACACACTTTGACCTATGCCCCCTTCAAGATGTTTATGAAAATAAAACGAGCCGAAGGCGAGCAGGAGGTTCCCTCGGGCCGGAGGCGCCGTGTCACACCGCAACGTTCAACGCACCGCACGAACCAGCATGCTGCACGAACCAGCACGCTTTTCTTCAATTTAGTGAAGTTATACACCCGTGCCTCTCCTAGTGTTCACCTATGCCTATAAAGAAGTGACACGATTGAACAATTCTGAAGACTGTCGTTTTACATTAAAAAGTTGCTTTTTCGTTACTTGAAAGGTCACATTTGATAGTGTTGGTAGTCCCCGCCCGTAACTACCCCATAAATCTCCATTACCAGGAAATATAATGGGAACAGAAAGGAAAACGATAAAGGGAAACAGGGAACCAAGCACGCGAACTGTTATTTTTTTTGTGTTTTCGCGCGGAAAGGGAAAACGGAAAAATATGGTAGTATGAGGGTCAAAGTGCAAAACGCACGAAGCCACAAACCGGAAAGGAAAAACCGGGAACCAATCACGCAACCTGGTTTTACCTGGCGGGAGCGCTCCGCGCGCGACACTTGTCACGCGCGGGGCGCTCCCAAAGCGCTCGTTACGAGCGCTCCGAAGGAGCGCTCGTTAACTAGTTGCTCTCAAAATAACCAACTTCTAGAAAAATAAAAGAAGAAAGCCACTCGGGCCGCAGCCCATGACGGTCGCGCCAGAGCTGAGTGCTTGCTCTACCTCACGTTAGGCGAGGCGAGAGCTCCTATTCGGCGCATTCGTCGCCAGTTAGGGACCTGGCGCTCACACACTCGTGCGTGTTTTTTCTTGGGCGCAGCAATTTCTTACTTTCCACGAGATAGAGCATCGGCTCGCTTCGAGCGCCCCCGAAAATGGGCCTACCCAGTGTGCGAGAGGCACTTCCTCATTTTGTTATTTGGTTTTTACGTTATGTATTTTTCATTTTTTATTTCTTTTTCTATTTCTGTTTGTGCTTCCAAATATTCTAACAAAAAAATGCCTATACAAAGTTTTTTTTAAATGTTTGCATAGCATTGAAAAATGGTTAAATGTGTATAGATTAAATGTTTCTCATGTATACGAAAATTGTAGCAAAAGAAGTATACATTGTGTATGAAAATGTTAGTTATGAATTTAGAAAATATTAATCAAGCATTTTAAAAAATGTTAATCAAGTACATGACAATGCCAATCGAAAATTAAAACATGTTAAATGTGCATCGAAAAATGTTTATCATGTATAAGGAAAATATATTTTAAAAGTACAGCTTGTATGAAAATATATTGAACGTGTATTTTTAAAAAAGATGTATATAAAAAAATGTTCCAGATGCGTACAAGAAAATGTAGAACATGTATGAAAAAAATTAAACATAAAAAAATGTATTTAAGAAAATATTGATTGTGTATAAAAATTTAAATATATATTTAAAAACCGCAATATATTTATGTTAAATATTCTTGATATATACCAAAAATGTGCAATATTTACAAAAAAAATTAGTCACTCAAACATAAAAGTAAGAAAAAAATGTTAATCATCTATTTCAAAAAATGTTAAACATGTATAAAAAAGTTCCTGATGTATACAAAAAATATAATATGTATATTAAATAGTTGAACATAAAAACATAAATTTTAAAAAGTGTTGATCAGGTATAAAAATGTTAATCATATAATGAAAAATGTTTAACATTTACTGAAAATTTATAATGTGTATCAAGAAAGTAGTCATTACACAATTTTTTTATCATAATTAATCATGTAACTGAAAATTGTTAAACATGTATAAATAAAATGTTCCTGATGTACACGGAACCTGTACATATGTGTATGAAAAATGTAAACATGTGTTGAGAAATAAATGGAAAAATACGGAAGAAAAAATTCAAGAAAAATGAATAAAACATTGAAAACAAATAAATAAACGAAGAAAAGCGAGGAAAGAAAGAAAGGTAGAAAGCCTGTGAAAACATTGAAAACTAAGAAGAAACAAAGGGAAAAAAGAAGAAAGAAAAGAAGAAGAACTAAGAACCCTAAAAGAAACAAATAAATCCAATGTAAAAACAAAGGAAACCAAATAGAACAGTAAAGAAACAAAGAAAAATATAAAAGAAAGACCTGAAGAAAACCGGGAAGAAAAAGAAATAAAAAACCATAAAAAAGAAAGAAAAAAAGATAAAACCAGCAAAACCCCGAAATAGCCGAAAAACTAGCGAACATAAAAAGAAAATAGGAAAACAGAATAAAACCATAAAGAAATAGAGAAAACCAAAAGAAAAAGAAGAAACAAGAAAACAGAAAAGGAAAACAAACAAGCCGGACGAAGCTACAACTGCAACGAGTAATCTAACATGAGCGTTGCTAGCGATAAAAAAACAGAAAAGCGCAGGCCCAGTTTACGACGGCAGAAGAAAATACTTCAACGAGATGGAAGCTTTAATCGTTATAAACGAGATACAGTCTTTGCTTCTTTTGTTCACTCGGTTCATGTGGTTGACCTGGTCGACCATTGATTGGTTTATTAAAAAACATGATGCTTGACCAATTTCTAAAAATGTTTGTGAATTCAAAAAAACGTAACACAAAAAAGTTTGCAAAGTTGTAGAAAGTTTGGGAATTCAAAAAATTCCACGAATTTGAAAAATAGATACTGAATGCCAAAATGTGCACTGATCTGAAAAGATCATTAATTCAAGATAGTTCACTAATTTGTAATATATTCAATATTTTCCAAAACTTCATGAAATTTTAAAAAGGAAAAAGTTCATGTAAATTAAAATCATAATAGAAAAGAAAAAATAAAAATAAAATGACAAAGCAAAAAAAGAGAAAAACAAATAGGAAAAAGGGCCAAAACCTTCCAAAAGCATCCCAAAACCGGCCAGGAAGATTCCATAACCGGGGACAGTACTCGTACAACGAAAACTTACATGGACGAGTCCATTCACAAACGATATTGGCACCGGTTTGTGTTAGTACCTTTATTTGGCGCATAAAGCGCCAAATAGGATGCCAAGGGTGTATAGCATTTCGCTAAAATCGAGGTTTAGTCAAGACCCAGAGAGCTGCTAGTTCAGGCATATTTTGCCGTCAAATAGATGAGGCTACGCTCAAGCAAGGCGCAATGGGCTGACCTGCTCTGTGAAGCTCACTTGAGCGCTTTTGTTTTCTCAGTTTTACTGGGAGAGAATTTAGATGATGCACATTTTTACAAAGCTAAATGTTTTGAAATTTACAAATAAAATGTAATATATATTTACCAATGT